GACACACAGTCACACATTCACACATTCGCACAGTAGTACAGAAACCATGAAACACAGACACCCCCGCAGACAAAAAGCCTAAGCACCAACACACACATACACACTCTGCCAAACACAGCCACACCTCAGCGAAACCCACGCACACACCCCCTTTTTTGAGGCTTTTTTTAAAAACGATTAAGTTTAAGTTTTGAAAAACCGAAATCTATATACTGAATTTAAACATTTAAAAAAAATAAAAAGGTTTAAATCATAAATTCACATTTGAAATTCATATTTCACATCTCAAACATGGTTGGAAATATGAATTAAGAATAAATAAGATTATATTTGGATCAATCCAGATTTCTTAGTATTAGTATTGGATCAATTCAGATTTCTTAGTATTAAAATTGGATCAATTCAGAATTCTTGGTATTAATATTGGATCAATTCAGATTTCTTAGCATTAAAATTGGATCAATTCAGATTTCTTAGTATTAAAATTGGATCAATTCAGATTTCTTAGTATTCAAATTGGATCAATTCAGAATTCTTAGTATTAGTATTGGATCAATTCAGGTTTCTTAGTATTAAAATTGGATCATTTCAGAATTCTTGGCATTCAAATTGGATCAATTCAGATTTCTTAGCATTAATATTGGATCAATTCAGATTTGTTAGTATTAAAATTGGATCAATTCAGAATTCTTACTATTAATATTGGATCAATTCAGATTTCTTAGTATTCAAATTGGATCAATTCAGATTTGTTAGTATTAATATTGGATCAATTCAGATTTGTTAGTATTAATATTGGATCAATTCAGATTTCTTAGTATTAATATTGAATCAATTCAGATTTTTTAGTATTATTAATATTTAATTTTCATGTGCTTTTATTCTTATAGAAATATCAATATGTATTCCAGCTTGATTTTAAAAATGTTTACATTCAGTAGGCAAAATAAGATTTCGAACTTTTTATATGGAGGTTTAGTACAAATTATACTTAACTCACTGCCCACTTACATATACAAGATTTTTTCACTGTAACTAGTAGACGACTTTAAAGAAAATGTATTGAAAAGTAGGGCTATTTACTGAAGTAAGGAACAGGAATTCATTGTATAAAAACTCGTAATTTATGCCTATTCAATAATGATCAGGAATTATATGTTATTATATTTAACAAAATCATAGTACTTTTAGCAAGAGTGTTCATATAAATTTTCGTACCTCTGAGCCAAGAGTATTTATTTGAAAAAAAAAACACATGAAAAATAAAATTTACCCAAAATTATGGCAGGATAGAAAATTAATAAAAAGACCTCTTTAATGGGGTACCATATATCTCTCTTGCTCTCTCTCGCGGCTCTCTCACTCTCTGCGTTACGTTACATTAACTGTTACTGTTACTCGCCGCTGTGGTGAGTTTCTTTCGCCTTGGCACCTGCAGCAGCTGCAACATGTTGCTGCTGGGCGAGGTGAAAAATCACAGACACGTTACGCTATGCGTGGCCTTACGTAACGTAACGCAACGCCTTTGAAAATGTTGGTTAAATAATTCACAAAGTTTCTTATTGTGCATTAACTAGACTTGTGTTTATTGTTTTACACTCCTCAATATTTTTAATTTAAACAGCTTAAGTGATAATATATAAATAGTAATAATTATTTATATATATATTGTTTCATTAAATTTTTTTTATATAAACTAATAAAAAACTTACATTTTCTATTGGCTATATTACATATTTGCATTGAATATTGCTCCCATTGTACAGCAATTTCGCAGATAAACTAGCTCAAAAAATGGGGAAAACAATAAATTTCGTTAAGGCTGCAATAAATTCAAATTGTTTTCGGTTCGAGGGGGGGTTTTCTGTGTTTTTTCGGTTATGGTTTTTATTTACTTATTTGTGTTGCTGTTTTTTTTTTTCTTTTTTTTTTGGTATCCATGCGAGCGTGTGCGTGAGTGTTGAAAGTTGAGCGTTGCGTGCAACCGCAGCGATTGTTGTTGTTGCTGCTGTTGCCGCCGACGTGCCACGCCCCTTTCGCTGACCCAAATTCGCTTTTCGTGCCAGCCAACTAACCAAATCTTATCAATTCATCAATCATGCATGCAGTCATTAAACGCTCGCCTCGTTTAATAGCCTTTGTTGTTGCTGTTGTTGATGTTTCTGGCTGAATTCGATTGCTCTTGTTACCGTTGTTGCTGTTGTTGCGTTTGTTGTTGCTGTTTTTGCCGTTGCCGGGGTTACCGCATCGCCACTGAATTCGCCGCAACTAGCTCTCTCTTTCTCTCTCTCTTTCCTTCGCCGCATTATGCAGTTAAAACGACAAGATTTTTAACAGAAAATTTTAATTTTAAATAGTGGATATTAATAACTTTATCATTAATTTTTTATTCCAAAATATTTGTGTAAAAAAAGCATAATTTCTTTTTTTCAATTTAATTGATAAAGAATAATTATTTAATCCCACTATTATAACTACATATATTACCTTCAAAAGTCTTGCAAAATATTCTATGGTTTTAAAGTAAACTTAATAAAGGTTTTGTTAGTTTAAGTTGGCTTAAAAGTTAAAAGATATCTCTGCACCAGTGTGACCAAAAAAGTAAAAACCTTCATTTACAAATGTATGGTTACACTGGACTTCTGGTGAAATTGATTAGATTAATACAAAATTTTACGTTTCAATGTATTTATTCAAATTTTCAGGTAATAGGTAAACAATTTGCCAAGGTCTTACTTAGGTTACAGACACAAAATCCAGTTGAAGTTGGTTATTTAATAGTTTCTCCTTTGTAGCCATGTATAATTTTTTTTGTGTATTTAACCAACTCTCTCATGACGGGATATGAGACCCCTCTGTATCTCTGTTGGAGCATAAAGTTGAGTAATTTTAAACAACCGATCCCCTTTCTTCGCCTGGCTTTCTGTGGCCCCCACCTGTCGACAAGGTATTTTCCCCGCCCTTTGTCTGTACATATTTATTTACATACCGCCCCACCGCCCATTGCTCGATTTATGTTTCGGATCAGCGTTTTATTCGTTTTTCTGTTGTGGCTTTACCGCTTTGCGTTGCTAGCCAAAACAAATGCATCGCCGTCTATATATAGGCCCGACATTGATTGTACCTGAATATCTAAGCACACGTAATTACATACCTATGTGGGTATGGTATATATGAAAGACTTGCTTCAGGGCCGAAAAGCTGTGGGGGCAACTGTACTTTGTGGTTGGGGCAAGACTGCAATCCAAGCTGAAATTAAAGATGCAACTTACATTTACCAGTGGAAATCTCAAACATTTCAATTCAAAATCGAAATGATTTGACTAAATTTAATAAAAACCAACTTTGGTTTGGCTTTGAATTTCCAAATTTTTATAAAAGATACAAAACGCTAGAAAAGATACAAAACGCTAGAAAAGATACAACAAGTTAGAAAAGATACAACACGTTAGAAAAGATACAAAATGTTAAAAAAAATATACAAAATGGCATAAAAGATACAAAATGTTAGAAAAGATACAAAACGTTAGAAAAGATACAAAATTACATAAAAGATACATTTTGTTTAATTTGATTTTTTGCACTTATAAATTATAATAATGGAAGAAAATTTCTTGCAGCAGTTAATTCTCAAGTCAAGCCCCACTCGATTTCGTTTTCTCCTATATTATCTGTATTGTTATCCAAATAAAAGAAATTAAGCAAATAAGAGGCAGCTGTATGGTTCGTTTGTTTATTTGTCTGTCGGTCTGTTGGCATTTTGTTGTAGCTGCCAGCTACTGCTGTTTTTGCCTCTTAACACCTGCAAAATGCAATGCCCAAAAAAATTCCAAAAAAAAATACAGCAAAAAATTAAACAATTGAAATTCAGGACTGAAAAGTGTCAACAGCGTTTAACTTTTGACTTTGTTTCACTCCACCGTCAGACAACAACGACAAAAATCAGCAATTACAGAGAAAAAATAAAACAAAAATGAAACAAAAAGTAAAATAAAATAAAACGAACAGAAAACAGAACAAAAATGGAATGGAAATCAACTGGCACCAATGCTTTTGATCAAAAAGCAGCAGAGAGGGAAGAAAAAAACCTGTAAAGTGCTTGAACTTTTAATTTCTTACCTGTGCGCCTTTAAATTCTCATTTAGTAAAAGGGGGTAGGTTGTATATAAAAAAACAGAAAAACCACTCGACTATAGAGTACTTATTTACGAATTTATTTAGTATTATTTATGTGCTTGAATTTACTTAAACAAATGACTTGAATTCACAATTTTTAATCAAAAGATGTTCGTTTATATGTACAGAAGCTAGCTTTCATAAAAATATTATTATAATTATGGGGGGATCAGTATTTATAAATAATATTTTTGTTGACTTGACAGAAAGCTTATCGATTATAATGTTATTATCGAAACTTTTGTTAACTCTTCAGAATAAACTGATTCGAATGTCGCTAAAAATTAAATTACGCATGCAAAAGTGCTGACAGCAGCAAATCAACGCCTTTAAAAGATCCCCTCCCCCCTTTTTTTTTTGGCAATTGTATTATTATTTTTTTTTTTTTGTTTTTGGCTCAGTAAAAATACCCGCAAAACGCTTTCGTTGAAGGAAAGAAAGAAAGAAAGAGAGAGCCTGTCACAATGCAAACAAACCAAATGCCAAATTAATTATATTATCCATTAAAATGCCGATATAATCCCCAATTGTGTGTATAAGTTTGTGTGACTGTACTGTTAAGTGGAGAATCGAGAGAAGTTGAAAACAAAAACCATTATCAAAAAAAAAAAAAACGGCGCACGCCTTTTGTTGAATTTTGTTGAATCGACTCGAAATTCGTTGTTCGTCTCTGTTTTGTATAATTTTCATTTTTAACTTAACTTCTTTTTTAATTTTGTTGTATTATTTTTTTTAGGTCGCTTAGATTTTTACTTCCATACCCCTATACCATTTATTGATTGCACTATTCTAACTGATATGATTATTTTGTCTCTATCTTGCAGGGAACTTCAGGATGGCACGCTCAGAGATCACAACTTAATGGACGGATCCAAGATCATTTTGATACCGAACGTGGAAACTGGTTTATTGGTAAGTCAGCCGCATCCTATAAAGCAACTACTAATAAAAAAATGATCTAAGAATAACAAGGCGATAGAATACAACGTTTTTAAATAGGGATTTAAATTTTATTTTTGGGATAGAGCTTAAAAAAGAGGAATTTAAACCAAATTTAACCCAAAAAAAATTATTTCCTAATATATTTGGTATTCCTTAAGTCATAAAGATATAATGTCAACTGAATTATCAACCGAATGTCAAGAAACATATTTAAAAGTCAAGCTGTAACCCTGACCCCGTTTGAAAGCCAAATTCAAAACCGCTTTCCAAATAAACTCTCTAATGTGTTAAAAATCGTGTATTTTTAAGTTTTGACAATTAGATATTATTTACCTAAGGAATTTTAATCATTTTGTACCCAGCCTCTGATGACTGTGACTAATACGACTAATTCCGTTTCTCATTCGAATTCTGCTGATTATTGTTCATTGGTTTCTTGTTGCGGCATGTCTGGTCGTCATTTGTCGTTGCCAAAGTTGTTTGACATTAATGGATCTTAATTTATTTACATATTTATTTTATTGCACACATTTTTTCGATTGTCTGACACCCCCGGCTAACTGGTTTGCCTTTCACGGGGGTGCTAACTCAAAGGGGGTCATCCTATATTTTTATTCAACTCATAAAAAACATACTTTAAGGGGCACTAAAAAGGATCTCCTTGAAATAAGCTCGATTTTTGCTTTCAATTTATGCCGCAGTATTTTTTAACCAATACCAGGAGTGGAGTTTTGGAGTTGACGATCGCTTGACGATCGGTCATGACAATCATATTATATGTTTCTTTCTCCAAAATTTGCAGAGCTTTTGCAGCTCTCTCTCCTTCTCCTTATTTTGGTCATTGTGTTCAAGTTTTCGAAGGTTTTTGTACAGTGCGTGTTTTAAATGAGAAAGTTTTGAGCAATTTTAATTTAACCTAAAGGTCAAGATTGCATTTGTATGCGCAGCTGAGTTTTTCGAGGTGGTTGGTAGCTACAAATTGGAAATTCGAAGTGCAAGCTTCATTAACAAAGGGAATGGCCCTATCTACAGTGCTGTACAGGAAAATAGTTGCAATAATGATCTGGTTAAAGGTCATTGTATTTCCTTACCCAATTTCTTCCTTAAGATTTAATATTACAGAAGTAGTTGATATATAGATTTGGTTTTGTGAGAGATGGTATCAAGAAATAGGAAATTCGATGTGCTGGAATAACCCTATTTACAGTGCTGTACAAAGAAATAGTTGCAATAACAAAGGGAATGGCCCTATCTACAGTGCTGTACAGGGAAATAGTTGCAATAATGATCTGGTTAAAGGTCATTGTATTTCCTTACCCAATTTCTTCCTTAAGATTTAATATTAGAGAAGTAGTTGATATATAGATTTGGTTTTGTGAGAGATGGTATCAAGAAATAGGAAATTCGATGTGCTGGAATGACCCTATCTACAGTGCTGTACAAAGAAATAGTTGCAAAAAAATATGCTTATAGAATCTATAATATAGATCAATGTATTTCTTTCCATAATTTCTTCCTTAAGGGTGTATATTAGACAGATAAATAATCGTAACAAAGATTTAGTTTTAAATCATTTTATATCATATATAAACAGAAAAATATATGCGATAAAGTTTTTAGTTTAATCATTTTCACCATTTCTTGTTTAGGGTTGAATATTATAATGAAACTTCAGTTTCTGAAATTTACCAGATATGGTATCATATTTACTCTGATTTCTACACTATTTCTCATATTTTCTCTTTGTGCTTTTCCGTTTGATTTACTGTTTACCGTTTAAGTTATAAGCCGGTATTTTTTTTTGTATACCTGGTTCAGGTAACTCCACTCTTAACTTGTCTCTCCGTATTACCAATCTCTTTGTTTGCAAATCCCGCGCGTGACATTGCAACATGCCGCCGCAGCAACAAGTTGCTTGTCCAACCAACATTTGCAACACTATTTGACAAAATACACTAATAAATTAAATAGTTTACTCGTTCATAATAAGGTTTTTGTGTGGTTATATGATTAAAAAATACGATTTTCTGAACAGCTGATTTTTCTGAAATTTTCTTATAGTTAAAAGGTTTGCTAATATGATATTATATTTTTTTTTAGACAATTATAAATGTAAAAACAAAAATCTTTTGTCTATAAACTTTGGTATTTGCAATTCCATAATATACATAATGTAATTCTTTAAAATCTCTTGATGAAAAGCTGCTATTTGGAATTTCATTATGCTGTTTTGAGAGTTTTTCTGGTGTCTCTGTTGATTTTATTAACTGTTTAGGTATTTTAGTTTGCAATGGCTTTTCCGCTTTTCCCGGGGTGACACCGTTTTGTCAGGTGAGGCAATCAGTGCCATCTTGCAACAGTGCCACATAACGTTTATCAATATTGGACTAGCCGCTCTCTTTCTCCCTCCATTACCATCCGTTGTCTGCACTTTAAGTCTATTATATTTCTTGTTTAATAACATTTATGCATTTTATGTCGTATTGCTGGTTCTTCACTTCTTCTCCATTGTCTCAATTGCTTTTCACATGAAATTGGTTCAAGTTGCGCATATGGGATGGGATGGTAAGAAAGAAGATGATGACACAGTGTGGTTATAAACTTGTTAAAGACTCTACTTAAATTTTGTCACATGGGTGCGAGAAAAAAAAGATACAAATTGAATTTACAAGAGGTTGACACAAATATAGGTTACAAATTGAAAGCACTTTGAAAAAACTTTACCAACTCTGACTATCTCAAATATAAAATTACAGACTAAACCCTTGTTTTTGAAGTAAGAGTAATACAATATCTCAGATAAATGTTTTCAAAATCCGCTTTTTTATGCGCTCTGTACCTGAGTAAATATGTACGTAACTTTGTTACTTTGACGGACATTTGTTAGCCATATTTATTGCATTTCGTATTGCATTCAAAACACACACGTATGTATATAAAAAAGTTCATGCAATTTGTTGTGATGCGAACAAAGAAATATTTTGGCGTGCTCGAGAAATCCATAAAAATTCCCAAAAAGACGAGCACAAAACACAACAGCTAAATTTACATATACTTTTATATGCGAACATTTGTCCATACATATAAGCCAGTGCACATATTGCAGATACTCAATACCAATACATTTTGTTTTCGTTTTAATAGATTGTTGGTAAAATACTGGTAAAAGCGATTAATTGAATGATTCAATAATCCCCTTGCAATAAAGCTTTATTCCAATGATTTAAATGCATTTTAACGATTATGAAGTAATACTCTAAACATCAAGGGTATTGCATTTCTTTTTAATAGAGTAATACATTCTAAGAATGCCGAAATAAAAGTCGTGCTATTCTTTTTTTCTTCTGTTCTTTGTCTCTCGTTGAAAAGAGTCAATAAAAAATGCTGATTAAAATTTATTTACAAAACAAAATGAAATTGCAATGTACGAAAATAAAAAAAAATGTTTAAATAGCCAATTAACAATTTGCGTCTCTTTAGCATTTAAATTTTATTTACTTTTGTTTTTTGGGAATTGCTATTGTTGTTTGTCGTGCAAATTTACGAAATAAATCCGATGGTGCGAGAGGGTTTATCCAATTGCCAGAACTCCAGAAAGGTGTGAGACCTTTACACTGAGAAAAAAAATTAAAGCTGATTTTGGGGTTTCAGAAATTCTGCATTGTGTATTAGGGAAGGCCATAATATCAAATTTTTTAAATGCTTATCTACCTTCTCGATAAGAAATGATTAGATGTAAGACATAGTTTGTTGCAATCTTCCAATTCAGTTCATAATATATAAACTAAAATGTTTAAAAATGATAGTTTGACTTGTTGCAGTGATTATTCTGAATTTGGGTTCCAGAAATTCAGCATTGTATATTAGGAAAGGCCCTAATATAATTTTTTTTAAATGCTTATCTGCCTTTTCGATAAGAAATGATTGGATGTAAGATATAGTTTGTTGCAATCTTTCAATTTAATTCGTAATACTTAAACTAAAATGTTTGATAACGATGGTTTTAACTTTCTTCAGTGATAATTCAGTATTTAAGATCACTTTTTCTCTGTAAAGGAATTTTGTGCTTTATTATATGTATGCCCCTCCAGGCGAAAGGAGTGCCTGGAGCATTGTCTCCCCTCTGAGGAAGTCTCTATCTTGTTGTTCCCTGAGTCACGATGCTTCAGCCTCAGTATTTTATATTGTTCTGTTTTTTTTTTTTTGCCACCTCATGCCATTGCCTCCTAATTAGCAACACAGAGTAGCCGAAAGCAAGAGGCAAAGTAAACCGAAACATTGCAATTTGCAATTCGGTGGCGACTGCTTGTCAACCTGGACAGGTGTTGTTGGACCTCCTGGCCCCCTTTCGCCCACACACTCTCCTGTTAAATGTGTGTTAACAAGTGACAGGTTGATTTGATGGAGACATCTCTGGATTTATTGGCACCACACTGACTGACTGAGGGAATGGTTAAATGGCTAAATGACTAAATGGCTAAATAAATGGCCGAGAGTGAGTAAGCGGCAAGGTGACCGATCACAGAAGTCGCCCCTGTTTCCCCCTAAATAATATAAATAAAACAAATTATTCGCCAATTATCTTGGATCAGCGGGATACAGCCTGCATACTACAGCCTAAATATATACTCATTTGTCTGCCGCGACATTTGCATATTGCTCCAATTTTATCTTGACACATCGCAGACAGCCAAAAATGGTCGACGAAGAGGAGAGAATTATTTCAGCTGCTATTAGCAGTAATAATATTTTGTAAAGTTTATTATAGCCGCGAGTGAGAAGAAAGGAATAATATATATAGGTCTGCGAATGGAGATGAGTGGTCTCCTCCTCGACAATACTTTCGATTTTCATAGTTGCCCCGCATGGGAATCACATGTTTTGACAATTCGAAACTGAATACACAAAGCTTTTATTATTAGAATTGTTTTGAGAAATAATTAATATGTGTAAAAAGAAGGCAATGTTAT